TTCGACATGCCGGCATTGAGTGCTTTTGTTAGTTGGTCGATAGAAGAATATTGTGTTTCTTTAAGCACGACAGTTTGATAAGGACTACTGCCAATTTTATACAAAAACGTTTGTTGCACTCCACGTCTTAGCGTGCTCCACGTATGTGGGTAATGGATTTCCGTCAATGCGACTTCCCATTGTCCTGCCAATACAATGGTTTCAGCCAATTTTACTCTAAAATTTGCTACCGTATTATTTGGAAAATAGGCTAACGAACTATTACTCGGAAGCGTGAGATAAAACTGTGTTGCCATATTGAAGACCAATACACAAATGAACACAACTGATCAGTTTCAAATACATTTATTTAATATCTTTTACACTCTCTGCTGGTACCCAAGAATTAAATTTATCGGGGTAGCCCAGCCATTTTACAAAATACTCTTTATGTTTATTACGCATGCGTGATCTAAGTATTTCTTCGACTCTATAAAAATCACTGTCTGTTTTATTCACTCTCTGAAGCTCTTGTTCGTAAAATGTTCCTTTCAATTCTTCGTCATCAAAATCAAAGGACACGTTTGGTTATCGTAAACACTTCTTCGGTCCAATTAGGTAAGTATCCTTTCTTAAATGCGCGCCTTGCTTTGCTGATTCGTACTTGATCTCCAATGTTAAACTTGAACCGAACGGGCTTGTCTGTCTGTTCTCCATAAAGTTTTTGCCACACAATGCTCTCGTTGTCTTCATTTACATCAACAGGCCTCATACCAATACTACGATGTCTCGAATGATTATAAGATTTTACCAGTTTCTGGAGAATGTCCACGTACTTGAGCGTATTCTTTGCTGTAAAGTATTTCCACATTTTCGTCTTGAGCGTACGATTAAACCTTTCGACAATCGTTGCCTTGGTCTCGTTTTGCGTCGTGAAAAACCGGATGTTATGTTTCTTCAAAAAGGCTTGAAACTTTCGATTCACAAACTCTGTACCTTTGTCGGTGTGAAACGTTTCAGGCTTTCGATCCTTTTTAAGTATTTTCTCAAAGGCTTTAACAAGATTTTCTCCAGTCTTTGTTTTTATCGGTTCGGCCCACGCATATTTGCTAAGTACATCGATTACAGTTAAAATGTACTTAAAACCGTTATTGTATTTGCTTATCGAGTCCATAATTACAAGATCCGCCTCCCATTGCTCGTCAATTGCGCCTACAATGACACGGTTCCGTTTGAAACGATATCTTACAGGTTTATGTAAGTATACGTGTCTTGCTTTTGTAGCCATAACCGTATTTTATTCCGCGATATCTGATGTTTACCTTCGTCTTTTACGACACGGTAAATTGAATCTACGCCACCAAAGCTTGCGGGGCTTTCTGGATTGTAATAGATTTGGCTCAGGTACTTTTCTGCCATCAATGTCTGAGGCTTGAATTACAATTTTCCCTCCACAGCAAGCGGAAATACAACGCACTTTCCGAAAGATATCTCGGAGGGAAATTTCTGGGAGACTTTTACCACAACAGGGCATCCTTTCACCTCAGAGGTTAGAACGAAATGAACCATGCATCAATCATAGACTAACATATAAAGCTATTAGTGTAAGTGAGAGCGTTATTAAAATTGGTGGTTTATTATTCCTCTTCGCTTTTGGGATATGAAAAGTCCGAAAGGCCTCGATAGTTTTTCGGACATGTTCTCGAACGCTTTCCTCGCTGTCACTCTGCACACAAACTAACGCTAAATAAGCAAAAATGCGACCAAAGTTTGTCATATTTATTTCTCTGTAGACGTGATCAAGGTTTAGACCAGGAGCATTCACTGCATGATATAGATCTCGATGGTGGTCGAGAATTGCATTTATATGAAACGATAAAGTCTGCTTATCGATATCGATTTCATTTTGTCTCAACACGTCAAAAATTATATTTATATTATTCATTTCACCAGAGAACCTCTCACCATAAAGGTTAAAACCCAAATGAGAAATGTAAGTGATTTATCTCAATAACATACAGAACACATTCATGATGATAAAAACAATTTATTTCGTTTTATTACAGTTATTCTTATTTCTTAAGGAATTCTTCATACGCTTCCTTAGCATTAATGTTAGTACTAGTCAATGTTTCTCCCGTGTCTTCATTCTTGTATCGATATTCTAGCGGGTCACTGAATAGGACGAAGCCAGTCTTGGCCACACGAGGTTCGATCTCTTTCCATTCGAAAAATCCACAGTTGTCTATCTGAGGGCAACAGTAAAACAGGCGGTTCTGTGTGGGTCCTTCTTTCTTCACTTTACGTACGGTGCATACCATCCCGTGCTTCCTGCGTGGTCGAGGGCTTTCGTCAATGTCTCCCCATTGCCAAAAGTTGCAAGGATCATGTCGATCAGAACACGTGAAGCAGGGTCTTCCATAATTATCTTTCAATTTATCTTTTACCACACGTAATTTGGCCAGTCTCTGATGTGTTGGGCAAATGGGATGATTGGAACCACTATTCTGACAGGCTTCCATTGCTCTCGTAAACGGATAACAATCTTCGTCATGGCAAAAGAACTCGCAACTCGGTGTTTCGCCACAAAACCAAAACGTACCACGAGCAGTTGTAGAACAAGCAGCTGGTTTACCGTGAAAACATTCCATCGCGAGCGTTGAATACAGACTATGCAGGTGAAAGGACACTAGCTGTATTTATAGTGATGTTACTGTATTGTGATGCTAATTGATTACGTTTGGCCCAGACCTGTCCGTGTTAATTGGTCGCGCTACCTGTCACAATTGGCCCAGGCTTGCCCGCGTTAATTGGTCGCGCTACCTGTCACAGTTGGCCCAAGGTTAGGGTTAGGGCCAGCAAAGTTACGTCACATATTTTGCATACTAATTACTTTCGCAGCAGCGTGCTAATTACTTTCGGAGCAGCGTGACGTCATTGGCGGCATCCCTTTGAACTCCATATGGGGGTCTATTACTACTATTAGGCCCATACGCTCATGATTTAAATCTTATTTAGACCATACTGAAAATCTTTATATATTGACTCTGAACAAACTAAAAGATTATCTTACTAGATTGTTCATGTACAGATACCATCACTTGAATAATTTACCAGAACTTTTATATAACAAATAATAATAAAACTATTATATAACAAATAATCACGTTCATCCACACAACACAAGAAATTCATTAAAACTACATAGGTCTCGTCAAAGAATAAACTAATTTAAGCATTCAATTTCTAATAAAGGAATTGATATCTGAAATAATCTTGATATAGAACTAATAAGTGCTGCAGTTTCATATTCTATTTTTAAAAAAGTAACAAAAAATTACTAGACTCCTTTGCCTATTTACCCACTATGTACATATATATTTAGTAATATATTGTTAATAAATGGGCGATATATCGGTTAATAAGTAAAGATTAATGTTAAGTGCATGGTTAGTATAGATCAGGTTAATATTACACAACTATAACTATCCAAATTCCGGCACAAATAGTTGCTCCATGTACCAAACTGTATACCATTTATGGTAATAGAATGTGATATGTTTGCGATGTTACTCTGAGTGCATATCCACACCGGGCGAGCTTGAAAAATATGCCCGGCCACGGTGGGATTCGAACCTACGACCTTTGGAAATACTAGCCCAATGCTCTTCCAACTGAGCTACGCGGTCAGGACGGTTCGAGTAAGTGATATTTCAGAACAGTATCTAGTTCCTTCAATACCAATGTGTTCTTGTAATATGATTTTTTTTTCTGTGTTGGTGTTGTGTACTCAGGTAAATAATATGTTTGCGATGTTACTCTGAGTGCATATGCACACCGGGCGAGCTTGAAAAATATGCCCGGCCACGGTGGGATTCGAACCTACGACCTTTGGAAATACTAGCCCATACTGGGCTAGTGTGGATATGCACTCAGAGTAACATCGCAAACATATTATTCACCTGAGTACACAACACCAACACAGAAAAAAAATTCATATTACAAGAACACATTGGTATTGAAGGAACTAGATACTGTTCTGAAATATCACTTACTC